TCCCTATGGGAGTTTTAAAAGCTCTATTTGGTCGTATGTGTGTGTGTGTGTGTGTGTGTGTGTGTGTGTGTGTGCGTGCGTGCGTGTGTGTGCGTGTGCGTGTGCGTGTGCGTGCGTGCGTGTGTGTGTGTGTGTGTGTGTGTGTGTGTGTGTGTGTGTGTGTGTGTGTGTGTGTGTGTGTGTGTACGGGCATCTGTTTGCTCGTCGGTGTGAAACACCAGTACTTCTTGTGGCTAATTGTGTGAGGATCTGTCGACAGGCAACGAAATTATTTTATTAGTGCAGCGAAGATTTTCAACAACCGAGTAATGATCAGGAAGAAAGTTTCAAAACATTTCACACCGTAGAATCCCGCTCGACATCAGTCCGATTCCTCAACAAAACGCCGCGAATGCCGCGCTTTAAGGGGCCGAGTCACAAAACATTTCGAGGAATAATTTAATGGTAACCAAAGTGCGCTCTTACGATATTCAGGGATTACTTCTGGAGCGTCTAAAACTTCGAAGTGGTCTGAAGTAGGCTTCGCTCAAACACAGCAGGCTGGCCGGCAACCGGTGTGAGAATCATCGCTGGCGACGCGCTCACCCCATCTCCGCCTATGGTGGCTTCTCGGAGTGTCACCGGTATTTCGCCTGCTGCAACATCTAAGCCGTAAGAAGACCTCACTATGCTGTCGGTATCAACGTTACTAGAATAAACTCAGTTTGAAAGGTTCTCCGGAGATACAGTGTACTAGAAGGGGGCAGTGGAGTGAATGAGGCGGCCACGCCCTACCTCGGCCGATTCTCCGGCGGGTAACAGTAGTGGCGGCGCTAGAGTCGCATGGTACTGAAAGACTCAGAAGCGTCTGCATTGGGAGCGTGCACGAGTAGCCCGCGAAAGCGTGTGTTTGCTTGTTTTTAGCGCGTTTAATGCGTTTCAGAGCCTTTATCAGTGTATACACACCTGCTAAGCGCAATAGCGCATGAGTAAATATGCAGACACGCATAAATTGCGCCGCGACATTCACTGCTTCAAGAGCCTGGTGACAAAAAAAAAAGAAAACATGTAGTAAAATCTGAATTTGCACGGATCCGCCTAGCTTTTCAGCCAAGCAGCGCTTTGAGCAGCGCTACATCATAAGTGGCCGCTGGCGAGCTACAAAAGGGAAGTATCAAAACCGCGAAATAATCATACGTTCAATTTGTTGGCAGTTTCTATATCCAGAACACTCTTCCTCATAAAAGTCCACATGACCTCGATTGTTTCATGAGAAACCTTAATATAAGTAATGTTGTCACCACGTTTATATCGGTGACGACTGAGTTTTATCATCCCAGTTTGGCGGAAGATAATAATTAGTGCTTTCTGAAAGGCTTTGCTGTTTTAACCGTGTGCTTTCGCACTCACTTGCTTCTTTTATGCAAGCTCCAGGAGGCCGAGCCAGGGAGCCCAGCTGTAAGAACACCTGTACCTTCTAGCCAAGAACTCTATGCGTAAGGGGTTATCCTAAACATATTAAAGAGTGCCAGTTGTATAATATACATAGCCCATCTGTTACTCTGTTTAACTTCACTGTAACCATGCAGTTCTCATTTTGTATAGACAGCTTAAATTGTACTGCTTTCCTAATATTATATTGACGTAACGCCGTTGCAAGCTAGAAAATTTATGACAATGTTTAGGATTATAGATGTAGTTCTTTAATTAAGTGTCAAAAGTGTAGGCAGGCGTTGGCGCATTTTGTTTTGAGAAATATAACTTGTATATGTACACAGTAAACACACACGCATATATATATATATATATATATATATATATATATATATATATATATATATATATATATATATATATATATATATATATATATATATATATATATATATATATATATATACATCGATCAGTACACGCATCTAAGTCACACGTCACCGGCCTAACAATATCTATACGAAGCCCCTTAGAACAGTCGCTATTTTTACGCCATGCATTTTTGTCCAACTACGTTAGCCTTGAAGTAGTTTTAAGACCTTATACTGTTTAAAAGGTGAAATTTACAGTGCGCATTAGTACAGAGGCAGGTTGTATTCACCTTCACTATTTGTAAAAATTCGGCGCAGGGCTAGCCAGAATTATTTTTTTTGAGGGTGCAGCAGAACGACCAACTTTGGCAATTGGTGGTTACTGTGAATACGGATAAATATTTTTGTATTCCCGTGAAAAGTTAGATTACGAAAAAAGTTTGTGGTGTAGGGTATTCAGATTTTCTTCCTCGCCCCTCTACTTACGGCCTCCTGGTTCTGTGTATGTTTTGGTTCGTATCCCGGCTGCGGCGGCTGCATTTCCGATGGAGGCGGAAATGTTGTAGGCCTGTGTGCTTAGATTTGGGCGCACGTTAAAGAACCCCAGGTGGTCGAAATTTCCGGAGCCCTCTACTACGGCGTGTCTCATAATCATATGGTGGTTTTATGATGTTAAACCCCACATGTCAATCTGCGTAGGTCTGACACCGTAATTTTTTATTTTTTATCTCACAGCTTTCTGAACGCAGCTAACTTCCAATAAATCGACTCAGTAATTCTTAATATTGTAGACGCCTGTTCAACGAAGAAAGAGTTGAGACAAAAAATCAGAATAAGACGCACCCTTTTTAAATAATTTTCGTTCGCTCACAAGGACTCTTATGGAGCTCAAATTCAGTAGCTTGGCGTGTCATACTTCGGGGTTTAGGACATATTGTGCTAGACATGAATGGTAGGCAGGTAAGAAGAAATCTGCATCGAAAATTGACCACAGTTTCCCGACTGGGACCACTGGTTAGCATGCGTAGCATATATGTTGAACTGCGATAAATGTGGTTTGCAATTTGCGACATGCGTGTGTGTTATGAGTGACACGAGTGAACACGCACGCACGTATACGGCGAAAGACGATGTTTATTGATGAGACGCTTTGGGTATTTTGAGCAAGATTGCTTTATGGTCCGTAAAGTGAAGGGTGAGTGGGTCTGGTTGCAGCGGTCGAAGGTCGACATTTGCAAAGACGTGGTCGATGGACGTCCCGCGAATCATGGTCGGATAATGTTTGCCCTCATGCGTTGCTCGTTTCAGCGAGTGCCGCGACTCCATGTAGTCGACCACTCAATTATCCTTGATGACGTCGACATTGAAGTCGCCAACTATCACGAAAGCTCGTCGTTGCGGTCGTTGTTTTAGGTATTCTTCCACGGCTTCGTCGACGTACATCTCCACGGCGGCACGCGATAGGTTGGGCGCGAGGTACATCGTCATGACGTCGACTCCGCAGATGCTAGCGACGCAGTGCTCGCTGTTAGCGCGTTGTTGAGCGCCGGCCGCAGCTCTTACCAGCACAGTCTTGTTGACGGACGAGGTGTCTTAAGAATTGCTTGCAGTTCCGCCAACACATTGGCTGACGCTATTGGAAGGGACGTCGGTAAGTGTGTTTGCGGATTCGTTAGCATACATTTTCACCAGCGACATCGGACGTGGAGAGACCACACAAACCAACCGACGAAGGGCGGCGCGCCAAGACACTCGCTTATTTATAGCGAGATACATATGTACACAATTTCCACATACAAGGTCAGTTCACACTGAAACAGATAGGAACGCATAAACACACTATATAAATATTAAATGCTTCCTTTTGCGCGGAGACGACCGCAAATATGGTCAATATTCCCATAAAACATTCGATTGCTCAAAGAGCGTCTTGAAGGCAAAAAGTGCTCTTTTCTGAAGCCCTGCAGTTGTCCATTGACCTAGTATTTTCGTCACTGTGAAGGACCTCCTATCTGAAAGTTGCAAACTTCCTCGTAATAGTTGTCTTTCGGTTTCATATTTCGGACACTCCATAAGCAGGTGAAGTACATCTTCGTCAAGGCGGCCGCATGAGCACTCTGTGCTAGGCGTACGCTTTATCCTGTGTAAGAAGTATCGCGTAAATGCTGTAACAAGCCGTAGGGGGTAGACCAATGTTTCAAATCTTCTAATTTCTCTTAACTCTGATGAAGTGCTTTGTTTCATGCAAGGGTCTATTAAATATAATTCTTAACTTTTATATTTTTCAACGAACCATTTTCTTTGGTGATGCTACAGGTTAGCTGTCTGAGAATTAAACGCATCCCAGTGTGTGTATTTGGCAGAACATATCTCCCTTCGTTATTGTAGACCCTATTGGCCGCGGCATCCACTGCAATGTTTCGTGGAATACTGCAGTGACCTGTAATTCATTGAAAAGTGATCATGTGGTTCATTTCTCTTGCTTTTGCGTGTTCTTTTAAGGTTTCATATAGCAGGGAAACGTTCTGAAAGAGGTTTTGATCACTTTGCATCGACGCTAGAGCGACCTTCGAATCTTTAAAAATGACCCATTTTTGTGGCTCTTTTTTTGGATGTCATCACGTCTCATTTGGCCGAAACGTCTATAAATTTTTAGGCTGAATGAGTTAACGTAGTATGATTTCCCACTTCATTTATCTTTAGCGTATTGGGAAAATAAACCGCAATGTTTTCGACACATGAAATATATCCTAATTTAAATCGCTTAAGCCTAATTAAAACCGCTAAATGGCAGCCTAACCTGGTAAAATATCTTAAAAAAACACGTCGAGAATTTCAACTAAAAGTATGACCTCTACTACACTAAGTGTTTTGTGCTCATGAATATTGCGAGTTCTTTTTCAGCCCAGTGAAATGTCAGTGTTGTTTCCTCGCAACTCTCTTTGCAATTCTTTAGTTCAATGGAATTTTGTTTCTGTCGGTTGACTGAAAGACTAATACAGAGAAATAAGATACTGCGCAAAACTTTTATTATACCATAGAGTTCCGCATACTTCAGTGGAGTCTTCATGTCTCGTTCACAATTGATGGGTTCTGCGGAAAGGCTAAGAAGGCCGCCATTTCTGAGAAAAGAAAAAAAATAACGGTGCATGTTTGTGAGAACTTCTGAAATCAAAGGCACGTACTCAAATTTCGGTAGAACTATAAGGAACTTACACTTCTTCTTGCGCAGAAGGGTGGCGTAACTCAGAGGAGAGCCAAGACCATAGCCGTAGTTCAGGCCGTAGCCGAGCAGGCCATGGCCATAACCGTAGTGACCAGCACCATAGCCGAGAGAGCCAACACCATAGCCATAGTAGAGTGGGGCAGCGTGGGCCACACCGTAGGTAGCGACGGCTGGGGCAGCGTGGGCAACACTGTAGGTAGCGATAGCTGGAGCAGCGTGGATGGCAGCGACAGCTGGAGCAGCGTGGACGGCAGCGACAGAGGGACCAGCGTGAACGGCAGCGACAGCGGGGGCAGCGTGGACGGCAGCGACGGCTGGCGCAGCGTGAACTGTAGTGACCGCAGGAGCAGCGTGGACAGCAGTCACAGCTGGGGAAGCGGCGTAGGTAGCGACAGCTGGGGCAGCAGCAACAACCGGAGCGGACTGCTGAACAACCCTGGTTACAGCTGGGGCGGCAGAGTAGGTTACAGATGGGGCAGCGGCATAAGTGGCGACACTTGGGGCAGCGTGGACAGTAGTGACGGCTGGAGCAGCTTGCACAGCAGTGACGGCTGGCGAAGCGTGCACAGTGGTCACAGCTGGGGCGGCGTTGTAGGTGGAGATGGCACGGGTGACGGCTGGGGCAGCGACAGCATAGCTGGCAGCAGGTGCGTAACCGTATCCGTAGCCGGCATAAGTGGCGGCAGTTGGGGCAGCATGGACAGCAGTCACGGTTGGAGCAGCTTGCACAGCAGCTACGGCTGGGGCAGCGTGCACAGTGGTGACAGCTGGAGCAGCTTGGTAGGTGGATACGGTACGGGTGACGGCTGGGGCAGCGACAGCATAGCTTGCGGCTGGTGCGTAACCGTATCCGTAGCCGGCACCATAGCCGGTGAGGCCGGAGTATCCAACGCCGTGGGAAAGCCCGTAGTGCGACAGACCAAGACCACCGTAACCAAGACCGGCGTAACCAAGGCTACCGTAGCCAAGGCCATAACCAAGGTTATTGGCGAGGTTGTAGCCTCCAGCAAGGTGGCCAACGTGACCAGCAAGGGCGCTGGTGGCCATGGCGAGGATGATGCAGGCGCGGAGCTAAAGAAGTAAAATAAAGCGGTTTTGGATTTCAAAAAAATCACCTATATAACGTCTGCATAGCGGTGCATCTTCATGAATTTTTATTATTAAAGCATGAATATTCCCGTTGTGCAATATGCTCAGGTTTTAGATTTCAACGATAACTTGAAGAGTGACGTCAAACGTCAAGAATAACGAAGACGGTGTTTTAGTCTGTGCATTTTGTAGCTGCCTGTTACGTGTTCTGGAATGGAAAAAGTGGCCCCAGCACCGTCTTTTTAGTCCACTACGTTTTTTCATGGGGAATCAACGAACAACCGAAACCAAGTTCTCCTGGGTAAATCTTGATTCGACAGAAAAATGCTCTTGTTTTATGCACCAAACTTCTCTGTCCATGTATTTTAACCATGAATTCCCTGCTAATTGTTTAAAGATGCACTAACTGGCCTAAACAAAGGTAATCTTCGCTTTGTTTCTCTGAAGTCTGGCATATTTTGGCAACAGTAATGAATTGGACTTCTCATTTTTTGTGCTCTTGTGTCAAACCTGCAAAAGTTTACTATGAATCTAATATTCCATGTTCGTTAAAGGCACTTCTCTTCGGTTATGAAGCGAACCAAAGTTTACATACGCAGGCAGGATTTTTTAAGGTACTAGCGGATATTCATTCGCGAGGAAAAAATTGGCGGTTTGCAAGCGCAAAGAGCATATAATCCTTTACTTACCATGGTGGTAGTCCTAGTCTGTTGCAGGAGCAGAAGCTTCGGATCTGGGTTCGTGATGAATGGCCTTATATACCCGGCGTTTGGCGTTACATTTTCTCAAAACAGCCGTAACACTAGGGGAGGAGAATGTCAAGGTTAGTTTTATTTCTTCATTAACCTCAGAAGCGTACATTAACTGCATTGGTCGGATTCACAAACGTTATTTTCTCGCTTTCCTATGTAGAGAAATTATTATTCGTTTTTTTCTATATCTAGTGCTTGCTGTCACCTATAAGACGAGATGAATGCAAGGACTGTGATGAAATTTGCAAGATTGAGTATTCACCTGAGACTGCTACAGTGAATACCATCATGAGAAGTGAAAGCGATGCGTAGTGACTCGTGCACAAGCTCTGGAAAACCAGGTACTTGTGTAAACGGCAGCAAAACGAACACGTTCCACATTGATATTTTTTTTTGTTTCACGTGCTTAAGAGAAGGGCGTGGAGAAACTTGTAATTCGAAGGGTATTTCAACATGTTAACAGATTATTGCGAAAAGGACGATTGGGTGAGGCAAAGAAAATTAGCTTAGTTACTTTTTGTACGTAAATAACTATCGGGCCATTTGGAATGATTAGGTCCCTTGCTTTTGAATGGGAACGAAACAGTAGTTTAAAAAGATAAATTCACAAGGACAAACACGGTGCCTAATTACAATGCTTTTTCAACAGCAATGTATAGGAAAGAGGAATCTCCAAGCATAACAAAACATCTTTCAGAAAATAGGCGTGCGCAAAGAAAAAAACTGACAGGAGGGCTTTTCTCTTCACTCTAAATATCTAAGAGAGGGAGAGCTCGACATGTGCACCATACTGTGACATCGTAGGAGAGGGGGGGGTGATGAGTTGAGGCTTTTGACATGCCTGATTGGAAACACGTCGCATGCCTATGAATCCGAATGAGGGTGTACAGATCAAGCCAGCTATACGACACTGAAAATTATATTGTTATCTTCGGAGGTAGCTGTTGCAATGTTTTCAAACAAGCTTCAAAATACGCGGCTGTGAGATAAAATGTAAGGCAAGCTGACTCAATAAACGCCGTGTTGTCGCCATGCAAAGCTTCTTTTGCCTCCTGGGCGTGCATCTCATTAAAGCATTGTTCGTCCAAGCACATCTGTAAACCAGCGGATAGCTGCAACTGTTTACAACAGCCAGCTATATGAACAAGGTAGAGAGGCGCTGATTGACTGAGTGTTCTTCCCCGGCAGGCCATTGGCCGGCATTATCAGGGTAACAGCGCACAACATAAGAAATGTTTGTTGTAAGTAATGACAGGTCCTCATTCAGCAACACGACCCTCTGTGTTGTTAGACTTGCTTTTATGACGTTCACTGTCGGCCTCCAGTTTTCCCTCAGTTCACTGTCGGCCTCCATTTTTTCACCTTACCGCTCTTCGAGTTCGCCCTAGGCACTACCCACTCTTTGTGTCACACAACTTGACCCTCCATGCAATCACGACCGCACTATAGTTAACTCGATAAGGGTTGTGGGACGAGCGAAAGCAAGTAGCGGCGGCGAGGCGAAAAGCGTGGAAATCATCGGCCGCGCCCCTTTCGCGCCGTTGCGCCTTTATCCAGAAGCCTCAACACAGCAACTTGCGTTCTGACAGCAGGTACTGATGATTGTAGTCGCTTGTGCGTGGTATTCTTGGTATTTGTATCGCAGTAGCTAAATACTTTTTCTATGAATCGAAGTATCGGCATACTGGTAAGACACAGTTATCTCGCCACTTTTTTGTCGATGTGTATCGAATAGCGAAGGAAAAGCATGTATGCGCTTAGCTTCAAAAAAGTGTCCCGCCAGTCGGCGACACATGTAAATAAGCGAAGAATCACCCACACGCACAGAATGCTTCATGTGGTTAAGTGTGTGTCGCGACTGACAGATGAATCAAGGAGGCAGTGCCGACGATCTTACATCTTTTTGAAGGCTGTTGAAGCACTGCCAGATTTTGGGGGAACAATTTCGGTACTTAGCAGTTATAACAGGAAGTCATGTTCAGCTACAATAATAAACATGCCTCTTTATATCGCCAGTCCTCAATTCAAACTGAACCAGCGCTGTCTATTGCCAGCCTATTTTAGAAGTTGCTGTTACTTTGGTGTAATTAGTGTAAACCTTCTAAGCACAACGAATTGCTCATGGGTGTGAAATAAGAGCATACTGCACCTATATCAGTGCTGTTTTTTAGTCAGTGAAGCGATAATAATCAGGCTGACTTGCATTTTAATTATCTGTAGCATTATGGACGATGTAAGTGTACACCTAAAGGCCAACTCTAGCGATTTCTGCACCATGTTTTTTATGTCTCTTAGACACTCTCCTCACGCGCCTGATAACTCAAATGCTCAAAGAGGTCAAAACTAAATTTTAATTACCGAAAAACTACAGTACCGAATTCGAAACGCAACCGAGTGCGCTTGTACGTCCGACATAAAGATTTGCCGGACGCTGCCGGAACCTGCCTGGTTGCACATAATGCCCGCTAGAGGCCACTACCTGTCCGCATCGTCCACGATGATCTGTTAAAACGCTTACGCTGTTATGGTGAACAAAAAGCAAATTGTGTGTGGCGCACGATGCAACATCAATTCAATTGGCACCTAGCACATGCCCACCAACATGGAAAAGAAAATCGCACTCTCAACCAAGGAAGCGCCGGCCGAACCCACACAATCCATAGAATACAAGCAGATGCTGCAGTGGCACATCAGTTCGTCACTTCCGCCAAGCAAAACTCAACGTCACACGCACGATGTTGCCATTTATTCTGGCAAGTGAGGTGAGCGTTTCAAGGCGAGCTTTAAAATTCATTAAAAAACCCGCGAAAATCTCAAGCCTGCAATTTGGAATGAAAGACGCCAACGTGCAGATGAACGTGCACAGTGAATTTCATTGATATCCACTGACCTCGAAAATCACGGGAGTTGGCCTTTAAAGGGGTGCTAAAACACCTTTTTGAGTAACAAGAGAAGTAATTCACTGGAGAAGCGTATTAGCTCAAAAACTCAACGCCGCCAAAATTTTTAGAATCCGTCCAGCACGAGCAGAGTTACAAAGACTTGTCCCACGCTGCAATTGCATTCTCTCTTCTCTCGTCCCGACGAAAGCGGTCGAAGCTAAGCAGGGAGAAATTGGAGGGGCAAACAAAAAACATCACTCATGCCTCGTGAGCTCAAGCACTTTTTCTTTTCTTTTTTTTTAATACAAGGCTTTCTCAGTGCGATCGCGCGTGCGCGTGTGCACAAGTGACGGCCTATCGCGGCGACCTCTGCAACAACAGAGTGCGCCATGTTCACATCAGCCAATTGCTGATGTATGGGTTTACTACGAGTGATTTTTGGGCTTATTCCGTAATTTGTGAAGTGAAAAGAAAGATATATTTAGCTGATTTGTTAATTTTTTGAGAATTCCAAGCCACGTGCTGCTCTATAATATTTGGCTCACGTGTTGTAGGGAGCCTATACTACCGATCGGCAGCGTTTTCTGACCATGTTCAAGAAGTGTTGCCGGGCCCCTTTAAGCAATGTAAATGCGACACATCAACACCCATGGAACTTAAAAAAAATTTTGTGCCTGTATTCCTGCATATATGTGGGATACTGTAATTGTATTTCGGAATACTTTTTTCTCTTTTTGCAAAGTTGTCTTCGTAATGTCCAGTTAAGTGTTTTATAGCTGTTTCTCAGTACCTGTACTTTTTGGCTTTAAGCACGTGTGTTTCTATATTTGTATTTTCAGAACATTTGTATGAGTATCTTCACCAAAACGTGATTTGTGCGCATTCATAGACGCTCTTCAGAATATATTGCCACGGGCGTTCCTTATTTCCACTTTTGTATGTTTCAGTTTTCGCACACGAAGCGTTTCAGCAATGCTCAGCGCAAACTGCGTCTTATTGTTCGAAATAGTGCACGGTCATCGTAGATCGTTCAGTTAGGTTTGTGCGCAAGACAGGGACACTCGAGATTATTGCGGAGCTTGCTAGACGACCAGTGATAAAGCTGGAATATTCCAGGCTGAGACCAGGACTCTTCCCAAAGGCAGGGCCTCCAAGGTAGCGAAGTTCTTCGTCATGAACATTGCCCGGCATGACAGAGCTCTAGAGACTCTAGGGGTCTTCATTACTGACAGAGGTGCGGTATTTATGACGGACCTAATTCAGGCGATCCTGAGGTACAGCCAGACAAGTCACCGCTGATATACCGCCTACCATCCACAAACCAATAGCCTGAACGAGCGTCTTAGGACAATCACAGATATGCTGGCTATGTATGTCGATGTCGAACGCAAGACGGGGCATGCAATTTTTGTGTACGTGACGTTCGCTCACAACACTGCCGTGCAAGAGACGACGCAAACGACGCCGTACAAGTTGGTGCATGGAAGGACCTCGGCGACGATGCCCGACGCCATGTTACTCAACGTCAGCGACGAAGAAAACATTGACGGGAGTGTACCTCCTGCGCACCGATGAAGCTGGACAACTCGCCCACCACCGCATCAAAAGCCAGAAGACAAATGACAGCCTCTGTTCCAATCTTCGACGAAGTTCCTTGAAATACAAGTGTGGTGACCCTTTTTGAGTGCGAACGCCGATAAGCCGCCGTGGACTCAGTAAAAAACTTCTTCGACGGTACTTCAAACCGTACAGGGCAGTCAAACTGCAAGAGGCAGTTTGACCTCTCGGTGCACTCGACTACGAGGTTGTCAACGACAGCATCACAGACTCTCAAATACACCAACGTGCGCGATCTTATGTCACTCATGTCGTGCTATTGAAGCCGTTTCATGCGAGTGAAGGAAACTAAGAACTGTATTTTTTGTGGTTGATTCTCAATTATTGTGCTTTGTTTTTACTGTACTTTCCTGCTTTCGGCCTGCATTTTTTTTTAGGCTTTGGGATGATACTTTTGAAAACGGGGGCAATGCCACTCGCGTTCCTCCTTTTCACGCATGTATTATTCTGTTTTCG